TATGTATTATCAGATTCCAGTGCTCTTCATGAATAGGACTAACATCAGCAGAGTGCACACCAAGATGAGATGAAAGTTTACGTGGAAGGGCAAGAAGAAAGATAAGTGATTTATAATGTGCTAAAATGTGTCTTATTTACTTGATACAGTACACTTCCAAATTACCTTTAAACTGCATTTCACATAATCAGGCTTAAATATACTAACTAGTTCTACAATAGAGGAAAACCAGAAAAAGTAAGCTGCCTTTTGGATTAGCCATAATAAGTTAATATGCTATAAAGAAGCCACCGGTGAACAGGGATTATGGACAAGGGTGCTAAAAGAGAACCCTTCACCTGCAGTTACTGTATGTGAAGTCCTGTCTGTAACTAAACTCTGGAATGTTCTTCGACTTAAAATGACCAGCATGCAAAGTGCTTTGCAGTTGTCAAAAGGCATGCTATTTTTATTTCTCATAATTCACTGGTAAGTGACAGTATGAAAAAAAGCATTCTAAAAAGCTTTTAGTAAAATCTGGACATATTGGTCTCCCCAATTATTATTTGCTGCAATGCTTATAATTTCATCTTAAATTGATTTTTTAAGACTTGTTTCATATCAACATTTCTTCTTTCAGCAAGTCAGTCATTACTCAGCAACTGAGTCACTAGCAAGGTCTTATTACTACCACTCACCCATGAGCAATTCTCATTTTACTGAAATATGTTAAAGTGCATAAAGGAGTTTCCTCAGAGTTATACGTGAAATAACTGCATATAAATATTTCAACTTGCATGATCAGTACTCGTGGCCTTATTAATAAGACTGGGTCTCAAAGAATCTAGTACCACTTGGGCTTGAGTGTCTATTGCAGAACACCTTAAGACTGATTACATACAGTGCCAGAATTTCACATTTCAAAGTTATCAACTCTAAGCACTTATCTCAGGATTGCTGAGGACCACTGATAGAATTACTTTACTTTCCCAAACAAGCAAGGTCAATTCTTTAAAAAAAAAAACACAAAGTAAACGGTTTAGAATTCAGATATCAGATAACGTCTAGAGGTAAATAAATTAAAAATACAATGTATTCATCTGTTTAATTATAAATAGTTCTATTACATTTTTTACTATTGTAACTTCCAACTATATCTCTTACACCTTCTAGCAAAGACCATATCTGGCAAAACAGCCTATTAAAAATATAAAAAGCCAAAAAATGCCAAGTAACTTTTAATAAGCACTACTGTAAGTATCTCCCATATTACATCTGAAGATATTTACAAATAAGAGAACAAGTGTCAAAGTAGAGAAAAAAGAACAAAATTTAAACAGAGGAAGTTCAGTGAAATCTCTACACAGTAATTTCTTCACAGTAACTTAACATTCTCTGGCTAACCACAGAGTTGACTCCACTGAGAAGAAAATCCTTATTTTTCTAAAGTGTGGTTGGTAATCACAACGGTGGCAAAAAGCAGGTTTCCAGGTCATGGTACTTTTGAGAAGGCCATTGCCTGTTTGAAAGAATTTATCTCATAGAAAAGAAAAACTGTGAAACAATCACACAGTTGAAATGTTACAATTAGTTTAAGGTTGACAGGTTCCACTGGAACAAACTCTTCTTAGCTAATCTTAATATCTCCCAAGAACCTTTAATGATATCTTGAAAGAAACTAAAGAAGTGCAAACTGACTGCAAAGAGACATAAATGAAAAAACTGTGTTGTCTATTTTCAGGCAGTTATATTTGCCTAACTAAACCTCAAGTCTTAAGTTCTGAATTGCAGTAAATATACTCTGACAGACTCTCCTGTGGAATTTAAGCCAAGTAGCTTTTTATAAATTGATTTTGCCATGGGAATTTTTGTCTGCGAGTCTAGTGCTCTTCCAGAAACAGAAGCAGTGCTAACAGTTCCGGAAGCCTACAGCAAAAGTAAGTGAGTAGTGCTGAGGTCACTGCAATTTCAGAAGCTTTTCAGCCCTTTACATGACTTCTTTACAAAATGGTGGCAACCTGAAGATTTCTTCTGCCAAGTCTATAGTATCTCCAAATCCACATGACGAACATCAGGATTTCGTTGCTGAAACAAAATTTTAAAAAAAAAAATTATAGAAAATATTCAAACACATTTTTGCACATGGATACAAATAATGTCTTTCTGGTATGCTGTTGGCAACTGGACAACAATTCCCTTTTTCTGGTAACATAGGGACTATATTAAAATGAGGAACAGCTTCAACAAACGTTGCCCGTACTATAAGCAATTTTTTGAAGGCTAAGTCATCTTTTTATTTGACAAATACTTTTCAACATCACAGATAAATTAGTTCTTATGCTTCATAAAGTATGAATAGCTCTTTTGATTTTAAAAAAAAGCAGTGAGTTTTTAAAGAAGACTGTCCAAATAAAACTTAAGTGATATATATGTTTAATAGATACTTTCCTAAATAATGGATAAGATTGATGAAATAATTTGTTACATACCACTGAAGCTATTTATAAGATTCAAAATACTGTTTCTATTAAGAAATATGCATTTTCTGATACTGTAAAAATACATTATCATTACATGGATTGTATAATCCATGAGAGGTTTAATGAAAGTCACTGACTTCAAAGTCATCCAGCATGTGAATCTGACTAGCATATTTAGTAAAGCATACTCAAACAGCAACATAATCACTGAAATCCCTGCCTATACCAAAAGCAGTATTCCTGTTTACAAAATAATTAGTCATGACCCTGCTCCTCAAAAACCATGAAGAACTGGATCTGCTGATGCAATTAAACTCAAAAATAATATTGTTATTTTTAAACAGCACCCTTCTAGGTATAAAAAATAAAACTACAATATGTATCAAAAATAATAGGCAATGACAGACATGTTCTTGAGCAGTGTCTCCTGATGACTAGAAAAGGCAAACATGACAGAACTGTCTGGCAGTTAGTATACTTACAGATCTGTATTCATGCCAGAAATTGTAAGATTAATAGCCGATTGATTTTAATTATAAAATTAAAAATGGAAACAATCTTTTGTTGCATCAACCAAAGGATATTTACATCTTGGAATGAAAAAAAAAAAGTAATTATAAGAAACTTATGTCAGGTTTATGAAAGAATTAAACACTACACTGTTTCAACAAGAGCAAAAAATGTTGAGTAAAGCCCTCATCACACACTGATATCATATTTAATGCAATGCTAAGTACCAGAGTTTTTTTTTTTTAAAAAATTAGCTTATTTACAAACTAAATAGAATTCAACAGCTTGTAAATAACCTGTCATCCTAAGAATACAGTAACAAAGGCACAATCAGGTCTCATTTAATGAAAATCCTTTGGTATAAAATTGGAACAAAAGACACAACAAACAGATCAATGGCAAAGTAGGGGTTTGCCGCTGGTCAGAACTTACTTAATACCATAGCAAGAAAATTTGAAACAGTATTATCAACCTCTTCCCCTCTCCCATATTTACAAACAAAATCCTAAAAGGTAGAAGCAGTGATATTGTTTAAAAAATAACACTCCCAAGAAGCAGCTAAATTTTACCTTCAGGTCCTTCTCAAGTCTGTCTACTTCAGCTCCCAGTGTGTCAATGATATTCTCACCATGCTTAAGCATGAAGGCTTCTAATTCTTCAAGAGTTTTCACTTGTTGAATTTCCTAGGAAGAAATAAAATTTAAGAGGTTGAGATGAGGGAAAGAAAAGAAAGTAATAACAGTATAGAGGGTCCTGACATATTTCAAGGGGGGGGGGGGGGGGGGGGGAAAAAACAAAAAAACAAAAAACTAAAAACCACACACTTTTCAGCTTTTGCCATTTCCTTTCAAAATGTCATCCTTTCTGATATCTCAAAGACACACAGGAGTATTATCTATTCAATGAAAACAGCTGGCCTACCATTCCACTTGCACTTCATATAAAACCTTCTTTTGTTTTTAATGGATTACCTCCTTTATTTTCTAAGTAAGTTTAGAGAATGTCATTCATTTTCTAGAAGTTTCTAGGATATCCCTTGCTCACAGCAAGGCAGAGCAGGGTACCCTTGTGTATTCTTTCCTCATTTTCATACATTCTTGCTATTCCATTACAATGCTTACTCTGGGCATCACATTACTAACTCATCTGCTAATCCACAAGGATTACCATGAATGCTGCTATAAATATGGCTTCTTCATAACATCAAAAATCTTGGAGACAGCTGATAAGAACTCAGACTAGGAGACTCATAGTATACAAGACTGAAGGAAGGAGGTTAAGGAGGAGAGGATGATATGCTTCTCCCTCCAAAAAAACACAGACGTCAGAAGGTCCAAAGCAGGTATTACAGCATTGTCATGAGCTTTCCTTAGAGGTCTCACATCCAGAACCAAGTTGGACAGAAGTATCCCCAGGCCATTTGCCATGTAGTATCTCAGCCACAGTTTAGGTAATACAACTGCAGTATGTTTAGGCCAAATAAATTATAACAGAGTAATTATTAAATAGATAATTCTTCTTGTGTATACAACTACAACATGACATCAATGCCCACTTAAAAAACCAGACACTTACCCTAAAACTGAAGAAGAATAATGTAATCAAGTGAGCTTAAAAAGTATCTCAACCACAATAACCTATGACTACAATTCGGGCAAGTCTAACAACAAAAAGAAACAAGACTAATCTGAATGACAGCATTTCAACAAATATTTCACAACTTTAGAAAGAGTAATGTTGGTAACAATGCTAGTTGAATGAGCAAGTTATTTGAAAAACCATAGATCAAAAGGCAAGCACTATGTCTGTCCTTGACTTTGGCTGGCTGAAAAAGAAAGTAGCGTACGAAACAGCTGCAACAGCAAAGCAACTGAGACTTGGCAATACAAAACCAAGCAAACCTGCCATGCCTCAGTTGTACAAAGCTGATAGCACTCTTCCTCTCAAAAATCAGATCACTTATATAATAAACATACATTATTATTTTTACATTAAAGGGCAGTACTTCTTAAAAACTGGGACACTAATGGTTTAAAAAAACTGCAGTAATTTAAACATAAACTCATACAACTTCTAAGTTGTGTTTAATGGACAGACATAAAATGCAGACATCTGACCTACTTTTCATTTTGAAAGGGTAGCAAGAAAGAAATCTTGTACGCAAATAAGCAAATGTATATAAGCAATTTACTGGTGAAAACAGGTAAGCAAGCAAAACATTCTGCCCATTTCAAACTCTTTGCAATTTAGATAAATTATTCTTTTCTTCATACTTCATAGCTTTGCCAGAGAGGGATTAAGAAAAGCTACTCTGAACTACAGTAAAATCAGAGATAGACACTTACTTAAGGGTGTTTAATTATTAAATGCTGTCAAAATGCTAAGTCATGGGATGCAAGCAATCCATTTTCAAGCCTAGTCTGAATGGCAGGATCTGTAAACCATAACACTGCATCTTCAGCACCAAGGCGAATAGCTCTGCCAAAACAGATGCTTATTATCAGGTGACAGGCTTCCAGTTTTAACTAGAGATCTTGTTAATTCAATAAAAAGTTATTGGAAGACGTATGTTCCCATCAAAATTATTTTGGACAAATCTGCATTTTCTAACAAAAAATTGAATAAAAAAAAAATCTGCCCTCCGCCTACCCAAGTCCTACTCAACCCAGAAGCGGCTCGATTTCAGAAGCACATAATATAATTCTGTGTACAGATATTTAACACACTAACACAAGAACATCTGCAATCCTTCAAAATGAAGAAGCGGAATACCTCTCAACTACTTGAAAATCTTGGGTTTAGACAAACTTGAAATTGGAAAGTAAATACTGGAAGTTACAAAATCATTTTTTTAAACATACTTGTAGCAGCTGTTCAATGTCTTGCTTTTCCAGGTACGAACGAGTAACAACCCGTCCATCAAAGTCTACTTCTGCTTTGAATCTCACTTTGCTCATTCCCATGTCTGTGGCTTTAACATCATGAATTGCTCTGAAACACATAATTTTTAAAGAAAATGTAGAACAACATAAAACAAACAACTAGCTAGTTTGACTTCTGATGTTAACAATATCATCACAGTAAAATGATCATGTAAGTTTAAAAGGCCATTGCCTGTGACTAACATATCCTCATTTTGTTACTACACACTTCCATTAAATACTGACTTATATTTAACCAGTTATACCACTTCCACAGGTATCTGCTACACCAACACAAGCATCCCACAACTATAAAGGGCTTGCTACAACAAAAGACAAACTACAAGAAGCACTGCAGATTTAGAACTAAACTAATTGTTTAGTTAAATTGTTAAAAAAAAAGCCATCCCACACACAAATGAAAACTTCTCTATTCCAAGTTAAGCTTTTAAATTCAACTTATTTGAATACTACTGCACAGAAGTTTTTGTGCATATACACACAGATGCAACTATTTAAAAATCTTTAAGTACCCTCAAATCTGAGGTAAAGAATAACCCATTGCCAACTACTGAAAGCACGCATTGGAATTATGGAAGTGCCCTTTCCTAGATAACTACATTTGTGAAGGCATGACCTTTTGGAGACTTGTCTATTCAAAGTTACAATAGATACAAGAAAAAGTTACGGATACTGTGTTTGAAACTCATTTTTGACTGTACTGAATTATTGATCCTGACTAATCACAATGTAGCTGTCTATAAATGGTGAAAAATGTGTATTTATTTAAAGGTTTCTAACAGATGCTAGAACATGAATGTTGCAATATATTTATACTTTGGACATTTAAGACTTCTGTTTTTCTATAGTGCAGCTTTGCTGCAGTTTGTTAGACAAACTCCATGATGTATGAATACAGGTTATGGATAAAAAGCCCTCTTCTTCAGGGATAATAAGATACAAAGCAAAGTTAGGACCTACACATACTGTGTTGCATTTCAACAGTGGAATAAATATAAAACAACATAATACTCTTTTTTTTTTTTGGTAATTAGATTAACACAAACTTAGCTTATCTTTAAAGCCAAGCAGAATTTAAAATTGCCACTGCAGAATAAGTTTCCACAGTATTCCACCAAGGCCAGGAAAAAAATTGAAGACTAAAATATAGGACATAAATCTCAAAGAAGTTTCAAATTTTTAAAATTCTTTATTCTGACATTTCTAAGGCAAAATACCAAAACATATATCTGAGGTCAGCTATAAAATATTCCAAATACTTTGGTTTTATTAACAGAAAAATGCAGTCTTGACAATTTTTAAAAAATTCTAACACAACATTTAGATTCAGCAATAAAGCTCATTTGATGGAAAGTACTAAACTTCTTTTCACATTCATTTTACTAAGTTGTGCAATTTCACACCATCTTTAAAATTAGCATGTCTGAAGCAAATTTACTCTTCCCAACTAGAAATGTTTCTTCTTATCTGAATGTTTATAAACTAAAACTAAGTTCACAGGGGGTGCAAGAAGCAGAAGGCATATACTTCAGAAGCAGCCTGCTAGGGGGAACATCCTAAAAAGAACAGGAGGCAAAAATTTAAGATGAACAGTAACAGGAAATGTTTATGGAATATTTCTTGTAATACTCAGGGTGGAGGAGGGTTAGTGTTAAGCACATCAAAAAAGAAATAGAACATGAATTAAATATAGAGACACCAAAAAAATACATGTTAGTAAACATTTAAGCAGATTACTATCAGCTCACTGGTAGCAATAAATAATTCCCAGCTCCAATCAAATTTACACAGCTATTCTGTGGGAAGCTACCAAATCAAAACATTATTAACCAGAGTAACCTAAGTGCCATCTAACTACCTCCTCACACAAGAGGGTATTTGAGATAACGGATATGGTTCAGTGAGGGTTAGTGAAGAGAATTTGAATCCATGTGATTCAAAAACACTGAAGATACATCAAGCACCTATCAGAGCTAAGCGAGAAGATAACAAGAGATATTTGAGATTCTCATTAAGCAGTAACCTGATAAAATTCAGTGGAATGATGCATATTCTGTAAGTGTGAAGGAAAAAAAGTCTACCTTACTGCTTATAATCTGTCCCAGAAAGATAAGACAGTGAGTCAGGAAGAGAAAAATCACTGATAATTAAAAAATACGGATGTTCATGCTAAAACTAAGTTACAAAACTTGCTTATGGAAGCTTCTGCATGGCTAGTAGACACCACCAATTAGAACTAGGGAAAAGAGCAAGCTTCACATTAAAGAAAAATCTGCCAGATTATGTCAAGTTATTGGTTTTGAGCCATCAGTTGTAATACTTTCCCCATCCCCTTCTCTAAACCAGAATGACAGATTTTCCAGCACAACAGCAGCACAATTACCCACTAGCTGTTACAATGAAGTAAAAATTAAAGACCACTGTCACAAAGAAGAGTTTATGCGTAGGGATATGTGATTTCATTCCATAAGAACAGAATCAGGACAGGCTGTACCACATCATATCTTTTACTTCACTGTTCTAAAAGCCTAATCTCCTACACTTCAGTTAAGACGAACACTAGAAAGATTTAGGCACCGAAGGTGTGAATGAGAGTTAAAAATGGAATGTTTGTGTAGCAAAATATAAAATCAAGTAATTTTCCAGCTGAGAGCAACTCTGATTGAAAGCCCATTCTGCACTGCAAATGAACTAAGTGCTACAACTTGAAATTACTGAGCAAAATTGAAATAAAGGGGAAAAAAAAGCCACAGCCTAAAAAATAAATTATTAAGTCCAGCAAACTGACAGGATGAGCATTAAAAAAAGACATTGTGTGTGATACATGCCAACGTTTTTTAAGTATAGCAGAAACAAAGGATAACCTGCAAACAAGGCCGCTACTAGATGAAAATGGTAAATTGTTACTAATGATACAAAGCAATAAGCATTGTTTTCTTGATCTAAAAAAGCACAACAGTATATTAGTACAACAAAGCATATATCTATTAGTAGCAGGGAAGCATACTGGATATTTAAAAGGAAAAAAAAGCTTTTAATTCAGCAAGCTCCATAACCTGCATTCAAGAGTAAGAAGAACTATGAAAACTGAAGAACAATTAATTTTTCATCCTGCAATATTGATAATTAAAGAAAAAAAAAGATAAGATTAACAACATTGTGTCAAAATTTAAGAACAGCAAATGAGGCAATCAATTTAACCTCACCTGACAACCCAAGGAAAAATAGTGGGAAAAGGTGGGGAAAAAAATAATATAGTAAGAGGATTAATTCCACGCATTAAGCTTTTAGGGAATGTAAGTCTTGTCAAACAACCCCACAAAAAAATTCAATATTTAGCCGAAAAAAAGATCAACAACACAGAGATTTATTTTAGTAGTACAGCAGTTAGTATTGTCTGATAAATCAAATACTTTATAATTAGCAGTGGAATATGGTGTTCAAACAAGCTGCTGCTGGAATAGTAAGTTAAGTAGTTGTCGTGGTAGTGATGGAGGAAGAGGAATCAGGACCTCTGGATCCTGTGCTCAATTTGGATCTAAAATACTAAGGAATAATTTCATTTTCTTCAGAAGATATATCTCCTTCATATTTGTCAGAACACATTTGAAAACAAAGATTGCAAACCCTCCCTGAAAGAACCAGGAAGGACCCTTCCTGGAAGCAGCAACCGCAAAAAGGATTGCATTGAGAACTCAGGTACAGTTTGATAGCTGAAGACCCTGAAAGGTTTAAATAAAAAGAGCAAATATTAGTCACAGCTGTAGAAGACGACCAGCACTCAGAAGCTTCTTCTTTTACAGTTGGTG